TATATATATATATAAAAGATATAATTGATACAAAATGCCACACAGCGAATTATTTTATGATCCAGTTCTTAAGATATCACCATGGATTATTAATTCGTGCATTCATTTTACAGGGCAAAGGGTTGTTCTCTAATCGCGCATTTAAGGAAGGGGATGTGATACTCGAGGAGAAACCCGTGATATGCTGTCAGTTCTTGTGGAACTCTCAGTTTGGATACTTGGCGTGTGACAATTGCTTGAAACCTTTGGAAACAGCCGAGGAGAATGTCCGTAGGCTAACGGGTAATCCAAACTTTGTTGTACCACACAAGGAATGCTGCGAAGTAAATAAGAGTTTAATAACCGAATGCCATCAATGCGGGGTCAAGTACTGCAGTGTAGAATGTCAGAACGAAGCGTTTCAGAGGTGATTACGAGTTGAACTTTTTATATCACTCTCTTATTTAAAGAATGACAACTAGAAAAATTTAGTTTTCCAGATAAGGAGAAAAATTACTTCTTCAACTTGACAGAAAATTATTGACTAATGAAATATTATCGGCAAAAAAAAATTTATATATGGATGGTATTCATAGTCAGTTCTTATTTTAAAACTGTCTTAAGATGCTAATATGCGATCTCTCTGATCGGTTCATAATATCTTAAGACGGTCCAAAATATAAGATCTGATAAATATATATTCCCTATATATATCCTCAACATGATTAAATATTATTTTTGTCATTCTTGTTTTTCATAATCTTAAAAGAACTCCTTTTTTAAATTTGTGACAATTTCGATTTTTTATAAAGTAGTTAAGCTAGTTGACTTTTGACAATGGGTAGTGTTTAATTCATTTATAGTAAAAACTTGAAATTCATTTTTTTAGTTGTGTTACTTTTGTAGTAAGGGAGCGATATAATTAAACAAAATTTAATTCATTAACATATTATGAATCAAATACTTTGTGTAGTTAAGTAACTAAAATGTAGTAATAAATCAGTGGTCAATACGAATCCATGATAGACTCCATGTCTACTAAAAGTTATCAACTGAAGGTGGTCTCAAAAAATGAAAACCAGTTCTATAATTTGTAATCAATTATAAGCATAATTATTTGTATTATAAAATTTGTTTATTTTTAGTCGTTCACATAATTGTGTTTTAGACTCACTGTCATCAATTTATAACTACAATTGAACTTTTACGTTTGCTGTAGTTTTCATTATATATTACACTTCATTTATTGTTTTTCAGATATCATAGTACACTGTGTTTACAAGGGAAAATCAAAGATGAGAGCCATCCTCTCAATCAATTATGTGAAACATGGAAACAAATGCATTATCCACCTGAAAGTGCATCAATCATGTTGCTAGCAAGGATGGTTGCTGTAGTTAATCAAGCAAATGATAAGGAGGAAGCTTTAGCAATGTTTTCACAGTTTTGCCATCGTACCGTTTCCAATGACACGCACGAAATTGTACACTATCTATTAGGCGAAAAGTTTGTAGGCCAGATTGATATCCTTCAGCAAATGATGAAGGAGGCTCTTAATACTGAGTACACTGCACATGTGTGTAATATGCATATATTATTGTTATATGTATGCTAATGTTAATTGGAATTTGTTTTTAGTGGTTCACACCAGATGGTTTTAGAAGTTTATTAGCTTTAGTGGGAACAAACGGACAAGGAATTGGTACGAGTTCATTCAGCCGCTGGGTGAAAAATGTTTCTGCTTTAGAATTGCCCAAAGACGAAAGAATTTACATTGACAAGTTGATAGAGAGAATTTATGACGCAATGGACGAAGGTAATTTTTATCTTTATAATTTATTTTTCTCTAGAGCGTTCAATAAATATTTATATAACTTCTGAAAATTTCTTTCACAGCGGTAGGTCCGTTTTTGAATAATGAAGGGTCTGGACTCTATGTTCTACAGTCGTCAGTAAACCATAGTTGCATACCAAATGCAGTTGTTGAATTTCCTTATTCAAATAACACTTTAGTATTAAAAGCAATACGAAATATAAAAGTTGGCGAGGAAATCTGTACAAGTTACCTCGACGAGTGCCAGCTCGAGAGGAGTAGACATTCCAGGCAACAGGCACTGAGCTCTTTGTATCTGTTTGTTTGTCATTGCGATAAATGTCAAGCGCAGGCAAATGATCCTGATGTAACATCTGACGAAGAGGAATCTGATGAAGACTGATCAGTGCTAGCTAAAGATGCACAGGAACAATGATATAATTTTCATAATAAACAAGAGTTATATATTGAATAATATCTAATATCCCCTTATTACATAACAATAACGAATCCCATTACGCTTTACTTGACTATCATATGTATGGCACAAGTGAACTTTATCAGTAAAATAGCATGTAGAATAAACATTACACATTTGGACTTTTAACAAACTTACTTTATTATTGTAACAGAGGCTTTTAATGTCATTTCTATGTAATAAAGTTATATAATAAATTTAATACAATATTTTGCACTCTTCTTTTGTTTTTAGTTTGAACTCGAAGGAGCGATTAATTATTAATTTTTGTTATTGCTCTGTTGTTACAATGTACTATTTACAAATTTAAATAATATTCACATTATGTTAAAATACAATTCATGTACAATTCAAATCAATCTATATAATTTTCGATTTTGCACATGTTTAATAAATTAATATTTAAAATTTTTACAGTTGATTTAAATATTTCATGCAGGCACCGCATGCATGAAATATTTAAATCAGCAATAAAAATCGTCGCAATTTTAAAAAGGGAATTATTCTAAAGTTGTAAAAAACAAAGATGACAAAAATGATATCGATCATATTACAGATATATAAAACGATATAACGGATCTTATATTAAGGAGTCTTAAGTCTCAATCATGTTCAAGTAAATTTATGAAATTTCTTGAACGTGCGGCCTTAAGATGTCAATGTTTAATTTTATTATAAAAAAATTCATACTTATGACTGAGCTTGTTGCTCAGTCTGAAGTGTTAATTCATTTTTTCCCATTATCATAAAATTAGATATATATTCAGGTAATGGTGGCATGAACACGCGTCTTTCAACTAAGGCAGTTAAAAACTTACCCATGTTGCGACTACGAAATTCCCAGCTAAAACAGAAGTTTCATATTAAATAAAACATACAAATAGTGATCGGGTATATGTAAAAAAATTTTCTTACTTCATACGTATAGTATTATTAGGCAACTTCGAAGCTACACTGTCATGTTTTATAGATTCCTCTGACCCCTTTATAATGAGCTTCTCTAGAATCGGAGGATCTTTGCCGAAACACTGTTCTGCATATTTTTTTCGTTGCTTGCTCTGCGTATAATCCACGCCATTATTACTGTAACAAGGTTATACATTATAGTGTATAAAATACAGTTGAATACAATTAAAATATCTCATAGTATATACATTGAGTCAAATGTATCTATAAAGAAAAAAATAAATAAAATAAAATATATTTCAAGAATTACCTGACGACAGGTTCAGATGGTTGGTAAACAGGTGGTTGACTAATATCTTCAGCTTGTAAAACATTTTGTTGTTTAATCCATAATAATTTTATTAAAGATTTGAGGTCCCTGCCCATCAGTTTGATTCTTTTACTATTATTATAACCTAGGTTGCTAGCTATCACTTTTATATATTCAATTGATACATTCTTCTTTGAGCAAAAAAAATATTTTTGTTCGAAAAACAAGGCGAAATAGGTTGGTGTGATGTGTTGTACTTTCTTTTTCTTTTTCTTCTCCTTGACAGATATAAACATGATATTGTCGTACATTATAGCTTTTATGTTCACGTCCAAATCCTTAGAATGAAATTCCTCTTTGATACCTTCCTCTATCTCTTGTCTATCAAGATGCTTCAACTCTCTATTTAATCCTGACAATTTGTATCCGTACCATGTTTTTCTATGGCTATGTCTGCTTATATCTAAAATTAAAACCATTATTTCATAAGATATTAATATTTCTCATAAATTTTATTTCGAGAATTTGAATTTAATCCGGAACTGATAGTGGATCTATTGGACCCTCTCAATCATAAATTTCTTTCTCAAAAAATGTCAAATAATTCAATTTTCTTTGGCTGTGTTCCATTTAATACTTGTGGAATCATTTCATTTTTGTCGTTTATCAAATGTTAAACAAGAACAAATGATGTTCGCGAGCATTGAGAACGTTAAGTGAAATGCAGCCTTTATGTTACATCTACAAATTGGGATTACTCTTATTAAATATACTTAACATTAATTCTTTTTTATGAGTTATGTCATTTTAGTTCCTTGAAATTAATCCTCTGCTGGTCAAGTTGAATTTTGAAGCTACAGTCAATATTTTGATTTTGGTGAATTCTACTGGTAGACAAACTTAAATATATCTGTACATGAAAAATAAGTAAAAAAAAAAACTGTAAGAATAAACAAGAAAAATTATAATGTTTAATCACTTAAAGCTTCATTAATTAATATATAAGACAATCTTTAGACCTTGTTATTCATACAAGTTTTTATCATTAAAAATAAGTAAAATGCAATCTGACTTTTATGATAGAAAAACTTTTTAAAATTTTCACAAATATGTAAGATTTTTTTTTTCAAATTTTTATACAGTCTGAAACAACACAAAAATTTATATTGAAGCTCAAAGACTGTCAAAGAGACTCAAAGTTTCCATTCTTGAAAAATATTGCATACATAAAACTAGGGAAATACTACAGTATATATTACGTATATTATATTATTTCCCTAGTTTTATATATGCAAATTTTTCAAAAATAGAAACCTAAAAAATAGAAACCTAAGTTGCTAACAGAAGATTCAAAATTTCACATGGCCAATGGAGAATTAATTAGTATCATTTAATTAAAGTAAACAAGAGTACTTTTAGTGTCAATGTTACAGAATTTTTAGCTCCAAGGATTAGTATTTATGATTTTAAACTTACCTGTTACTTCTAACGTTGTCAATCTGTCATGTAAATCTTTCAAACTTAAATCTGCATTCTGTAAATAAATCAGAGGTAAAAATGATATTACGCTATTGTAAATGTTTAAATTTCAGACGAAGAAATTATAGGAAGTGATTCTTACGTCAAGAATATCCCGGATAACGTGCACGACATTAAGTACCGTAAAATTCTTGTGATTCTTAATCAATTTGGATCTAACGCGAGCCCACGATGTCTCTGGAAAAACGGGTATCACGGCACTTTCCAATTCCTCAAATTTGAATTTGTTTATCACGTTGGTTAACTGACGCTTAACAAGAATCGCTGACGCTGTGACATTCGGAAAAAAATGCGGTTACATCGCATCAGCGGCATAAAATGTTTTAAAACAGCCGAAAACTGGCTACGCGCGTGTACTTACACATGATTGTTGTCGCAAACAATATCCACGTAATATCCACGAGCAACTTTTAAAGTTTTCCCTCTTTCACCATCTTTCACCAACTGTCATCAGAAGTTTCTAGTTAAATTAATCGACGATCAAAGTCGCAGAAGTGCCAACAGCAGGCTAAAGCCTGGGACACAAGTCTGCTTGTTTTCCTGCTGCTAGGTATTAATCATGAAACTTTTTTCCTAGGATGAAAAGTGAAAATTTTAACCATGAAATTAACGGAGAAATTTTTCATTTTTCACTTTTCATCTTAGGAAAAAAGTTTCATGATTGATACTTTGGATTCCTAGCTGGATTAAAATCTTTGACCCGGTCTCATCAACTTCGATTAAGTTAATCTTCCAAATCAATCAACTACAGTTGAGTATTCCCCTGTTACAGTCGAACGACAGGGGGAATGCTCGACTGTAGTTGGTTGGTTCTTACATTCTAATCCAGATTAAATCTTCGGTGGAAACTAGGCCAATTTTGATCACGTGACTTATTTTGACGCTAAAAATAAGCGTGGAGCGTCAGCATAAAGTGGCATCTTTAATTCAACTGTCAGATAACTCATAGTGGAATTCACCAATTTTCCGGTATCCGGTTATCTCTGATTCCATCATGAAGTAATTAGCAGATTGCATCCATGATTGCATAATTGCATGTGAGCACATGTGAGTTTATATGGATTATAGTCTAGTAGAGAGGAAAAGAAGAACTGACAGATTCTGGTATCACTGCATATTCACTGTGACATGACTGCCTAAGCGTGAGTTCACTGACATGCAATGTGAGGTAGGAGAAGACGATAGGATGTATGCGATCGATGATGAGGAGGAAATCATTCCAAGATACTTCGCCGTGTGCGACTTTTACGGCGTAGAGACACGAGGAAGAATAGTTCAACACAGGACACGCGGATTTTGTCAACTCCAGCCCCCATCAAAAAAGTACAGTTCTTCGACTGCAGAGCTTTTCTGATATGTTCGCCGCAGGGCGCGTACAAAGTGTCACGGAATGGCGAGTTCGCTTTGCTGAGCAAAAATGCCTTGGGCATGGGCGGCGAGTTCTTTCAGGTGCTCATCGTCAAGAACAACGGCGTCTATCTTGACAATAAACAAGTAAAGTCCTCCATGCTATTGTTTCCCCTTATACCGAATGCGAGCGAGACAGTGTGTACTTTTCCTCTGAATCCAGCGAACATCGAGCCGCAGCTCATAAGTCATTTCACTGCCGGTTGGGAAGTTGAAGGAAGTCTGTGCGTTGTCGGATATCACAGGAAGTTGTATACGCTGAAGGCCGATACTGTACAGTTGGTTTACACCAGTGACAGCACTATCGTGGACATCCTACCTGTGAAGAGACGAGATAAAGTAGCTGGTCTACTGCTGCTTACAGAACACGCGAATCTGGTAATCTTGGTACATGATACAGGTAACAAATGTACAGGAGAACGTGGACTGGTTTTTGAAAGAATATATCTTGGAGAAAATAACAACACGATACTCTGTGCTGTTTTCAGTCTACAAAAGGAAAATATTTTGTGGATGATTTGCTGTAATCAGTTCAGGACATATTACATAAGAAAGGAGCTCTTCGTTGACATGATTCAAGAGGCGAAAGTAGAAGAGAGAACGTTTACATGTATGCAGTATTATAAGCCAAATATAATTCTAGGTCTTTCGCAAAGGAAGGAATTGATTGAGGTGTCTCTAGAAGAATTGGATAATCCTTTGTCAATCGATAATAATATTGTTCTTCATACCGGAATGTTTCAAAAAACAGATATTATCATGGAGAAAATTTGTGCCAAAGTAAAGGAGCTCAATGCACTTTATGAGAATTTGTCAAATGAGCAAGATAAGCTGAAAAGAATAAATATATACGCTGCCAAGCAAAAACTACAAATAAGTCCTGATATTGAGGTATCTAGACTGTGCAAGCATCGTTATCTTGGTTTAAATATCCCAGATAAACTGCCTAAAAGTAGTTATGTGGTGCTCTCTTTTGCTTCTAAAAATCAAAGCACATTCTGCATGAAGAAAGTCGTGGAAAATCATGCACTCAAGATAAAAATGCCCATCAATAAAAATCAAGTATTACGTTCTTCATCTATCAATATGGATTTAATTACATTGATGAACGAACAACGTCCATGGTGCCTCGTACAGAATTTTATAAATCCTCTGCTACAGCATATTAAGAGGAAAGGAAGGTCAAAGGAAGATAAGACTATCTTCATAGATACTAAAATATCATCGTTGCTACAATCAATAGCGAGAAAAGAAATGAACATGACAAAATTATGTGAAATAAAAAAAATCGTACGTGCAGAATTAAGCAGATATAATGATAGTTGAGGAACTATTTATATAATTATTTAAATTTGATATAAATATTTTAAATATACTATATTCTATTTAGTGTTGTATTAGAAAAAAAACACTATCTAGTTCTTTAATTAGAATAGTATTTTAATACAAACTTTATGACTTTCTTAATTTGATATAAATAATGCTGTACAGAGAGAGTACTGAGTTTTAAATGCTGAAGATTTTATATTTGTTTTATGTTTTTGTACATATCCTGTACAATGGGGATACTAAATACTCTAAAAGATAAGGTATGATTCCTTACAGAAATTCAAGAGCAAAACTATATAATCATATGTTCGAAATGATTTAGTTTCAAAGACACGAAGTATCAAAATTGAAAAGAAAATTTTGCTTTTTTAAAATACGAAAACTCGAATTATTTTGATGAAACTTTAAACCTAAAATACAAAAGTTCATCAAGTTTCATTAAAATAATCTGAGTGGGTTTCGAAATTTTTGGAAAAATTTTTTCTTCGACTCTGTATCTTTAAAACTAAATCGTTTTGGATATGTAGTCAGAAGCTTTCGTCTTGAATGTATAAAGAATTACCATTTACTTTTCGAGTACTTATTCACTTTATGTGCTTATATTTTTATGTGCTTAGTATTGTCTTCTAGGCAGATTTTATATATATATATATATATATATATTTATATTACATTTATAATACAGAAAAGATATAAAAAGTTGTTAGAAATTTTATATTATAATTTTTATATAAAATGAAAATATAGAAAAATGTGATGTGAAGAGAATCGGACAAACGATAAAGTACAGCAATTGTGATATCTATTAGGTGTTGGAATTAATTCGTAGCGTTTTACAAGTGATGGGAAGTACTTTCATTAATGTATTTTTTAATGCTCATGTGAAATAAATAACATTCTTTCATTAAAAACGCTACGAATTAATTCCAACACCTAATAATTTCTAGACATTTTGTAAAGATAATTAAATATAATTTAAGGAAGAACATATATTTATTGTGATAAATATTTTTTCATATAAAACTTTGTCACAAGTCAGATCGGCTCTCTTTGTTACTGAATTCAATTACTGAAATTACATTCCTTTACAAGAGAATCCTCTCGCTTTGTTTATTAGCGTTGATACTTTTGGCGTATATTACATATGTAAATGTAATTAATTTTTCCTAGTAATTAGAGGCAATAATTTTCATGCTTTATTTGAAAACGAATATAAGTATGCCAAGTGGGGATCTAACGATCTTAACATACTAAACATATGGCAGTAAGTACAAACTTACTAAATAAGAATTATAAAATCATTATTCAAAAATGGTAGACATGACAAATCTCAATAAATATAAATGTAAAATGAAGAGCATACATATTAACACGACATTCATTATATTATACATACTGTGTGTAAATCATCGCTGTAAAAAATGTCACGTTTTATCTTCCATGCTGTAACTTCATATATATAACAGTTTATTGTATCTAGACCTATTAGCCTGCAATAGAATGCTGTTTCTTTTTTATCAGATGTAATATATTTCTTCTCTACATATAATATTTCTGTGTTTTAGACTCGGATAGTACAAAATATTAATAATATTCATCGCAGTTCTCTTATTGATTTCCTTTTTGTAAGTACTTCGATCAATAATATAATCTACGAAGAACAATGTCAGGTAACCATTTCCTATCGCGTTACGTTCTATAGAATCCAAAACCAGATGTTGCACCTTGTAAAATATTTCAATATAGAGGCAATCCACGATTAACAGACTATGCCGACATATTTTAAGTTAATTTAAATTCTATTTTACTTCTACTGTTTCAGGTCTGCTAATATAGAATTACCTCATGTAGATGCATAGAAAGGCTCGCTTTGTGCCTAATAATTATAGTACAGTTGTACATCACGTTAATGTATTTAATATACATATACCATAAGTACTCAATTAACAACATTATAAATTATCATATACATTTGCCTCATGACTTATAAAACAGAGACCAACAGTTTAAGCAAATTAGACTCCTGAAAAAGTATTAACAATATTACGCAGTGAAAAGAAAGTTTTAAAATATAAGCTTCTAAAATTAAACAATTATAATAAAAGACTTATGATTTAGATTTCACTCTGAATATTCTAGGGTATACTAGGTTAGAAAAATTTTACTCTTCAAATAAACAAACATTTTCTTTAGCAAACATTTAATCTTTCATTTTCACGTAGTAAAATATCACTTTAAAATAATAAATCAATCAGTCGTCAAATTAATTTATTAAGTACCTAATAAAGAGTTATTTAAAGTTTATGAAGAAAACAATATCAAAATCTCATTTTGTATTTACATTTGTATGATACAAATATATAGTTTTTATATCAATATAGTTTTAGCTAAATTATAATATTACATGTGATTTTAATCGGAAACGATTAAATTGTTGCTAAGGAAAGATCAAATCCAAATCAAGCAAAAAAAAAAACAAAAAACGAAATTTTATTTCGTTTTTTAATCTTAACATCTTACTATAAGAAAAACAGCACATATCTCCTACACTCGTCTTAAGATCCTTTCATTAGGATAATAAATCGCAAGAAAAAGTGATATAAGTACGTGACTGCACCAGCTATAATAGGAATGTACCTAACGTATTAATAAGACTTCAGTGTCTTAAGAGAAAGAAAAAGCGGAAAGGAATTACTCCTAGTAAAATTGATTTAAACACACAACGATAATATCTATATAGAGAATTTGTTAAGGCACATAATATAAGTACAAGTAATTATATCAATTATACATCAAGTCATTTCCTCGCTGCTACTCGCTAATTGGGCCATTTTAAACTATCATGTACGTTTAGATTCGTATACACAAATAAAAAAAAAGTAACTAAACTCTCCAGTTTTTGGGGGAAGTTGATCTTTGAATAACATATACTAAATCTTCTCCAACCTTTTTTCTCGTTCATTTGTACTGTTTTCTAATATATATGTATGATGATAAAATTCGACCGTGTGGCTAATTTCATATATTTTATTTTTGTTCTCTAACGAATCTTTCGTACTAAAATATATTCAAAATAATGTCAAGGCATTATTGCAGCGTAGTTTCTATCACTTTTCTTTCAATTAGCTAAAAACTGTACCCGTAATACCATTCGTTTACTTGCATTGAAACAATCGTAACAATAGTGTTTTGATAGAACATTACGTATGTGACGCATACTATATAAAATCTAGAAATAGAAAAATCTAAAAAGAATTTCTTAAGAAAGACAAAGAAATCTTTGATACATGCAAGCGTAAGATAAAAGCAATTTTTTTAAATTTTAAGATAAAAAACCGACATGTTACTTAATAAATTTTAATTCTCTTATTTTCTTTTTTTCGTAATTAGATAAGCTTCAAATCGATATAGTCGAGTATATTTTGATTTTATCGAGTATAATCGAGTATATCTTGATTTTATCATTTATTATCTATGAAATGCTATATTGACAACCGATTACGTATTATTTTCTTTATG